GTTCCCTCCTTTGTTCACTAGTTTTAGATTTGGTTCTCTTTAACCCTAAAAATCACTCCTTAACTTGTTCCTACATGGATTTTCATGTAGATTCCAAAAATGGGGTTAGATTTGTGAAAATAAAACTGATTCTTCCAGCCACAAACTGACCAAACCACTAGAGGTTTTGACCCAAAATTTTCAGCTTTGTTTTTAGGCTTCCAACACTTGTTTCTTTTAGTCTACCCTACACCATTCCTCATTTTAAGCATCATGGAAGCCTTAAAACAATGAAAAGCTCATCCTAGGGTCCAGTTCTTCACTTGGCCAAAAATAACTCTCACAACAACCATGAAAAATGCTTTAAAATCACTTAAACTCACTTGCTAACACTAGGATCTAGCTTGTGTTGTTGTGTCTTAGCAAGTGTTATGATCAAAACTTCTTTGTCCTTTTTATTAATCAGTTCAGTCCATATTAAGAGAGGGAAGAGACAGATTTTAAACCATAAAAATGAAAGAAAGAAAACAAAGTAAGAACACCTTGCTTGAATGACCAAAGGTGCCTCTTTTTCTTCTTGTTTCCTCTCAAGCTCTCTCTTTTCTCTTGCTCTCTCTTTTGGACGAAATGGACATCTGAAAATGGGGGAGGAATGAGCTGATTAAGGCTTCAAAATATCCCAGCCACCTTCTTTAATGATAGTCCAAGTGTCATTACCCTACTAAGTCTTGATTCCTCTCTCTTAATTAACATAATTCCAAATGAAATTATTTACTAAAGTCAAAATCCTCTCCATTCATGGAATGACACTTGGCTAATTCAAATCTTCTCCTTCAAGAGCTTGACACATGGCTCAATAGGATCCCTTGGACTTGCAAGACACCAATCTTGCTTTATTGGTATACTTTAGGTTCTGAGTTTAACTTCTTTTCTATAATTACAGTAACTTAGTCTCTGTAATTATTTTATGTCAGATCCTTAATTTATTCTCCTCATTATTATCTTCCCAAATTGTCCTCTTTGTCTCAAAATTAATTTCCTAATATTTAAATAAAAAGGAAAATTAATTTCCTTTCCTTTAGGGATTTTTCCACTTTTCACATTTATTTGGAAAAAATATTGGACACTTGAGGGTTTTCATTTAATTCCATAATTCCTTATAATTCCTTGGGATCTCATAGGAATTTTCTTGGAATTTTATTCCTCTTAAAATATTTATTTGGAATTTTCCAAATAAAATCCCTCAATTAGCCTAAATCACCCTTAAATTCTCTTATAATCTCTCTAAGGGTAATTTGGTCATAAAACCAACTTTATAATTTCATATAACTCTCAAAGGATATTATCCCTATTTTTCCTTAATTTTCCATGGCTCGAAAATATTTTTCCTTATTTACATTTGACCAATTTTCTTTAATTAGTCAATTTCCTATAATTGGCTTGGAAAATTACTGTAATTATTTTCCACCAAAATTCTTTGACTTTTCCTTATTATTTTTAATCCTCAATGATTTGAGAATATTTCTTATCTCTAATTATCATAATGCTGGATGTGACATTTCTCCCCCCTAAATAAATTTCGTCCTCGAAATTTAAAGCATACCTTAATGGAAAAGCTGTGGGTACTTTTCTTTCATCTCAGCTTCCATCTCCCATGTGGCTTCTTCAAAGGAAAGACCCTTCCAGACCACTTTAACCAAGGGAATCTGCTTGTTCCTCAGCTGCTTGGTCTTCTGATCAATTATTCGTTCCGGTTTAACCTCAAAAGATAGATTATCCTGAAGCGCAATGTCATCATAGCTTATGACATGTGTGAGATCTGGATGGTACTTTTTCAGTTGGGAGACATGGAAAACATCATGAATTTGGCTTAACTTTGGGGGAAGAGCCAACTTGTAGGCCACCGGTCCAGCTTTAGATAAAATCTGGAATGGTCCAACATACTTTGGACTGAGCTTCTTAGTCTTTAGAGATCGACCGACTCCCGTTGTTGGCAACACTTTGAGGAATACGTGATCACCAATGTCAAATTCTAACGGTCTCCTTCTTGTATCGGCATAACTCTTCTGTCTACTCTGAGCCGTTAGAAGTCTTTGCTGAATAGCTTTTATTTGTCGGGAAGTCTGATCCACCATGTCAGGACCAAGAGAACTTCTTTCACTAAGCTCTGTCCAGCATAAGGGAGATCTACACTTTCTCCCATAAAGTGCCTCATAAGGTGCCATTCGAATACTTGAATGGAAACTGTTATTGTAGGCAAATTCAATTAATGGTAGAGACATATCCCAATTACCGCCAAAATCCAATACACAGGCACGTAACATATCCTCCAAGGTCTGAATGGTTCTTTCTGTCTGCCCATCAGTCTGGGGGTGGTAGGCTATGCTGAATCTGAGAATGGTGTCCATTTCTTTCTGTAAGAACCTCCAAAACTTCAAAGTAAATCTTGGGTCTCGGTCCGAAACAATACTGCTTGGAACACCATGCAGCCTAACAATTTCTTTGACGTAAAGTCTTGCTAACTTCTTTGGGGAATCTTTAACATTCATAGCAAGAAAATGTGCAGACTTAGTCAAACGGTCTACTATCACCCATATCGCATCATGTTTAGCTGCTGTCATCGGTAACCCCACTATAAAGTCCATAGATATACTGTCTCATTTCCACTCAGGGATATCCAGGGGTTGTAACTCTCCTGCAAGTTTCTGGTGTTCTACCTTCACCTTTTGGCAGGTAAGACACTTTGTCACATATTCCGTGATATCTTTCTTCATTCCAGGCCACCAGAAGAGTTCCTTAACATCATGGTACATCTTTGTCATTCCTGGATGAAGAGTATATTTGCTCTTATGGGCTTTGGCTAGTATCTCTTTTTTGAGGTCAGACACTTGGGGAACATAGGTTCTTCCTTTAAACTTCAGTATCCCTTCCTCAGAAGTTTTGAAGTTCTTATTCTCACCTCTAGACAGCTTCTCCTTGAGAATTCTCGCTAGCCAGTCCTGTGACTGTGCTTCTCTGATTTGATCCTTGAGCAGGGCTGTAAACTGGGTTCTACCTCTATTTCCTTCTACTAATTGCATCTGATATAGAGGACCCCAATCTCTGAAATCCTCTACCAACTTCTGCTCTCTGATCATCAGCGATGCTACCTGTACTGTCTTTCTGCTTAAGGCATCCGCGACTACATTCGCTTTGCCTGGATGGTACTTAATTTGAAAATCATAGTCTTTGAGTAAGTCCATCCACCTTCATTGTCTCATATTCAACTCTTTCTGATCATGAAAGTACTTGAGGCTTTTGTGGTCACAAAACAATTCTACGGTTGCTCCATACAGATAGTGTCTCCATATCTTCAGTGCATAAACTATCGCCACCAATTCCAGGTTGTGGGTCGGGTAATTCTCCTCGTGAGATTTCAACTAGCGTGAGGCATAGGCTACTACCCGCCCTTGCTACATAAGTACACATCCCAGTCCCTGCTTGCTAGCATCTGTATAAACCACATACAGTTGTGAAGGATCGGGAAGTGTAAGTACGGGAGTAGAAGTGAGCTTCCTCTTCAGCTCCTGAAAACTAGCCTCACTCTTCTCGTCCCACAAGAACGGCTGGTTCTTCTTGGTTAACTTGGTCAGCGGGAGAGCAATTCGAGAAAAGTCCTGTATGAATCTTCTGTAATACCCTGCTAGTCCGAGGAAACTTCTGATCTCGGTCACCGTCTTTGGTCTCTCCCAGTTGAGTACTGCCTCAATCTTACTGGGGTTGACAGCCACTCCCTCTCGGAAAATCACATGGCCGAGAAATCGGACTTCCTGGAGCCAAAACTCACACTTACTAAGTTTAGCCACCAGCTGTTTCTCTTTCAGGGTATTTAAGACAATCCTCAAATGCTCCTCATGCTTTTCTAGAGATTTGGAGTACACTAAGATGTCATCAATAAATACAACCACAAATTGATCCAAGTAAGGACGAAAAATCCTATTCATGTAGTCCATGAATATCACAGGTGCATTCGTCAATCCAAACGGCATCACTAAAAATTCATAGTGTCCATATCGGGTTCTAAACGCAGTTTTTGGGACATCTTCAGACTTAATCTTGAGTTGGTGGTAGCCAGATCTTAGGTCAATCTTAGAGAATATACTGGCTCCAACTAGCTGGTCTAACAGATCATCTATCCTGGGAAGCGGATACTTGTTCTTAACTGTAACTTTGTTCAACTCCCTGTAGTCTATACACAGCCTTAGACTACCATCCTTTTTCTTGACAAACAACACTGGAGCACCCCATGGCGACACACTTGGCCTAATAAAACCTTTTTCAAGTAGCTCTTCTATCTGTTTTTTAAGTTCTGTCATTTCATTAGGAGCCATTTTATAAGGGGCCTTAGAAATTGGTCCTGCTCCAGGTACTATGTCAATTGTGAATTCTACCTCTCTGTCTGGGGGTAATCCTGTGATCTCTATCAGAAACACTTCCAGAAATTCCCTAACCACTGGGATTCCTCTTATCCCTTCCTCAACTTCTACTTGCACCGAGAAGAAAACGAGGAATCCTTGACCGCCTTTTCGTAAGCATTTGCCCGCTTGGGCCTTCGTAATGAAGTTTAATCTAACTTCTGGATTCAACTCTAAATCCCTCGTGGGTAAGATTAGGATTTTGTTCTTACAATCCATTAGGATATTGTGGGATGGCAACCAATTGAGTCCAATCACCACATCCATCTCATGGAAAGGCATGCATATCAAATCTATAGCAGTGCAACAGTGCTCATAATAAACTATACAGTTCAGGCATACATCAGATGTAATTACCCTACTCTGTGTTGGGGTAGACACATGTATATCATATGGCAATGTATTTATACTTAAGCCAAGTCTTTCCGCACAGGCATATGAAATAAAAGAATGACTAGTACCCGAATCAAACATTGCAATTACTGAAGAATTGTTAATCATGATCATACCTTGGATCATCTCCGGAGACTTTCAGGCTTCTTCTCTTGTGATGGCAAACACTCGGCCCTAGGTGCGTGGTCTTGCCTGCTCAGTGTTCTGTGGGCACTCTCTTGAGAAATGTCTAGGTTTGCCACAGGTGTAGCAAACATTCTGTCCAGCTATGCACGGCCTGTCACCGTGATTCTTGCCACACTTTGCACACTCCTTGCCCTTCGGTGCTTTACCGCCCTTCTTGTTCTTGTGGTTGTTCCAAGGTTGCTTCCTCTTCTTATTTACATTAGACGAGGTGCCACCTTGACCTCCTTGACCTCCCTTCTCTGCTCGGGGAGTTGTCTTGACCATCAAATGATGGTTGAAGCTGCTTTCCGTGATTCGGCAAGCTTCCACTACTTTATTGAATTGCTCAAATTGTCTGGGAGCAATCATCTCCCTCAATGATGGCCTCAGTCCTCAAACCATCTTCTCTGTTGTCCACCTCTCATCATCTCTATATCGGAGATAGCTTGAATAATGAGAGAGACGGATGAACTTAGCCAAGTACTCATCGAAAGGTTCGTCATCCTTTTGCTTCAAAGTCAGAAACTCTGCTTCTCTTTCGTCACAGACAGATCTTGGAAAGTACTTCTCATATAACTGCTCCAGAAACACTTCCCAAGTCACCGTCGTGTTTCGAGCATTGAGAAGAATCTCAGTATTCTTCCACCAGCGATCCGCATCTTTTTCTAGCTTATATATCGTCATCTGGGTTTTTCGCTCTAATGAGCAGTCCATCACCTTGAAGATCTTCTCTAGGCGATTAATCCACTCTTCTGCTGCTTCAACATCGAATGTTCCATCAAATGACGGCGGGTTGTGCTTACAGAATCGGGTCATCCACTGTTGAATGCTGTCGGGTTCTGCTGCTGGCATTACAGGTCTTGGCAATTGTTCCGATGCTGGTGCTGCAGAGACCTCTTCCTCTGGTTGCCTCCTCTCGAGGTTTGCTAATGCTGCTGCTACTGCTACAGCTATCGTTGCATCCCTTTCTTGTTCTTGACGAGCTTGAGCTGCTCTCATGTCCTCGATGGTCTTCTGTTGTTGCTCGAGGCGTTCCAGAATCAATTATAATGGATCAGGAGGGACCCTTGCATCTTGCAATAGGGGTCTCTCCGGTGAAAGGTTTCGTCGAGTTCTAACCATTGCTTAACTAACCAAATAACATAACAAGGAACAAGAAAATAAATATCATGCTTGAATTTCATTATCGAAACAGGCATACAACAATTAGCACCTAAACATCAACCAGCCAGAATACAATCAACATACAGCAACCAAGCACTAAACAACCTAACCTACTAGGGTTAGTTGTACCAAAATACATCCTACGTCAGTGATAGGAACATCCTAATCATCTACAGAAAATGAACTATAACAAAGCCCTCGAGGCTTTGGATCCAATCCTCAACATCATCTCCCAGCAGGTAGTTTAGGCGGGTGATCTCATGGGTCCAGAAAGGGGTATTGGGTAGGATCTCTACCATCTCACTCAGCCAGTCATAAGGATCCAGGTAAGGGTTGCCTGGTCCATGTGCCTGATACAGCTCTCTCACACCTTAGAGGTAATCCAGGTGTACTCTCAGGTCTGCATCAACATCCCTCCTGATGTGACGCCCCATGAACCTCAGCCGGTCACTCAGCTGACCCACACTACGAATCTCATGACTAGGCTGAACTGGTGCAAGTACAAATGGTACAGTAGGTACTATAGGTATTACCGGGGCTGGGGGTACAACTGATACAGTACTAGGTCCAGGGATATTACATTGGTACATAGCAGGAGGAACAGACTGCTTAAGAGACTGAACATAAAGATCTAAATCTAGTGGCTCTTGGTATAAGCCAGTTACAGGGTTGACCAAGTCTCCAGGTCTGGGGAGGTACTGCAACTGTTTTGCCGTGATCCCTAGCAGCTCTGGGTAGTGCTCAACACAGTCATTGGAGCACACTGAGGAATGGCTAGGGCTGGCATCTCCCATTACCCATTCCTCTAGGTCCTCGTCCTTGGTGAGATCAATTAGTATTGGATCCCAAGTATTGACTGATGGCTCAGGTTTAGTATCCCAGTCCATGGTAATCCCCATCTTGATTCCTGAAAATAGGTGTCAGTTCTCTACATCTAAGGGATACTTAAGCAGAGCGTTCTATCTTATGCCAGAACCTCCGCTCTGATACCAAAAATGTCACACCTTACTATAATATTGACTTAGGTTCCTTTCAAAATCATTTTTGACCACATTGGATGGTATTGGACTCACTTTTTACCATAAAAACGCTAATTTTCGGATTTTTACTGCTCATCGGGTAAAAATTCAGTTTTTCTGGCCCAACTTCAAAAATTCATAACTTATTCTAAAAAAATCCAATTTGGGTGGTTCAAAATTCTACTTAAAGCTCTTTAAGTCCTCTTTCAAGGAAAAATAATCTCATTGTCCAATTCTTTATGAGAAAGTGTCAAGTTTTTGTGGAACACCGTTCTGTCCAGTGCCAAAATTTCTTTTTCCCAGACTCTTTCCTTTAACTTTGGAAATTCACCAAAAATCGTATACTTGTCCATTTTTAACTTATTATCTATCAATTTGAAGCTCAGGATGTCATCTTTCATCATACCAAATTTCAAGATTTAACGCGTTCGGGAACATAATCAAAAAGTCGTGTTAACCGGTCAGGGTCAGTGTGCTTCCAGCACTGTTAGTTTAATAAGTTAGTTATTTAATCATCAAAACATTAAATTTAAGGGTTAAGGTGCAATTTTAACAACAAAGTTTACCCGAAAGTGCACTGGGCACCATAAAGTTTATTTGAGTGCAAAAATATACATGAAGTTGTCAAAAAGGAGCATCTGGCACCATGCCGTTAACATCTGTCAGTTTACCGTTAGAGGGGCGCATAAAGTCAGTTTTAAGGTGCATTTTTAACAACAAAGTTTGCATCAAGGGGCATTAGGCACCATGAAATTTACTTGGGTGTAAAAATATACATGAACTTTGTAAAAGGAAAAAAAAATAACAAAATCCTTCAACCTCCATAAACATCCATTAATTTTATTCTTTTTGGTCTCACCAAATGCTATATTTTCTCTCTATAAATTTCCACTTCCAAGCCGATCCATCTTTCTCTCATCATAGTCAACATGCACACTCTCTCTGTCATGTTGTTTTTTGAGCCTCCAAGCCTTTTATATGTATTTAAGCAAAACACATCTTTCCCTTCTAGGATATGAGGTTCATTACTTGCACCCGAGTACTACCTCCAGTCCTTAATATAGAATCCAATTGACTAATTTGAGGAGATTAAAAATAAATAAATAAATTACTTTAAAATATTATATTTATTGTTTTTTCTTCAAATTAATTTTCTTGGCTTGTAAACTAATATATAATTTAATGATGCATATAAATATTTTAGAGAGATCATGTACTATATGCTATTGCGTCAAATAAATAAATAATATAATATTTAAAGTAATTTATTTATTTATTTTAATCTCCTCAAATTAGTTCATTGGATCCTATATTAAGGACTGGAGGTAGTACTCGGGTGCAAGTAATGAACCTCATATCCTAGAAGGGAAAGATGTGTTTTGTTTAAATACATATAAAAAGCTTGGAGGCTCAAAAAACAACATGACAGAAGGAGTGTGCGTGTTGACTATGATGAGAGAAAGATGGATCGGCTTGGAAGTGGAAATTTATAGAGAGAAAATATAGCATTTGGTGAGACAAAAAAGAATAAAATTAATGGATTTTTATGGAGGTTGAAGAATTTTGTTATTTTTTTTCTTTTACAAAGTTCATGTATATTTTACACCCAAGTAAATTTCATGGTGCCTAATGCCCCTTGATGCAAACTTTGTTGTTAAAAATGCACCTTAAAACTGACTTTCTGGGCCCCTCTAACGGTAAACTAACGGATGTTAACGGCATGGTGCCAGATGCTCCTTTTTGACAACTTCATGTATATTTTTGCACCCAAATAAACTTTATGGTGCCCAGTGCTCTTTCGGGTAAACTTTGTTGTTAAAATTGCACCTTAACCCTAAATTTAAATATTGAAATTTGAGTGATAATGTGAGATTTCTTACAACTCATTGGGATTTACCATTCCCAATTCTCTTCGAAAGAAGTTTAACTTTTGTTGATCTAGAAGCTTCGTGAAGATGTTAGCTATTTGATATTCAGTGGGGATGAATTCTACCTTCACATCTTTCTTTTGAACATGATCGATCCCAAACATCGATATGCTTAGTTCGGGCATGATGGAATGGATTCTTGGACAGACTTATTGTACTCATGTTATCTATCACACCTTACTTATATAGTATCTTAGCATTCATTTAGAACCATTTCAGACCATGTTGGATGGTCTTACACTTAAAAATTTCAATTTGGACGTTAATTTTCGAAAAATTACTGTTCGCTGTCCAGTTTTCAGATTACAGGTCCAATTTTGAAAAATCATAACTAATTCTAGAAATATCGTATGGAGGTGTTCCAAAATTTTGCAGAAAGCTCTTTCAATGCTCTTTAAGGGAAAAATATTTAACTGAACTCATCCTCATTGAAAACGTACAGTTTATTGGATTAAGGTTACTATTCGTTTGGTAAAATCTGGACTTTTCCAGATTCTCCACCTTAATTTTGAAAATTCATATCTCTTCGTATACACATCCAAATGAGATGATTAACCACTCATTTTAAAGCTTGGGATGTGCACTATAAGTATACCAAATTTCGTAGCTTAAATCATTCATATGATAGGTCAAATTGAAGCTCGAAACTAACTGCTCCATGACCTATGTTTTATCCCTTAACATCTCTTTACTTTAATTCTTTTTATTTCTTTGGCATACCTAACATAGGCTTACTTTTTCCCATTCATGCTCATACATTCCTATACATGCCATAAGGTTTATAATTAAATACATGGCATTCACAACATAATTATAACATAGGAGAATTATACATTGAATATTAGTATCAATCATTAGCATCAATAATTCTTCACTTCTTCTCCTTGCTTCTCATGCCATTAGTGCCCATCATTGATTGACCTAAATGGTTGGTTAGGGAGGGGTGAGATTTGGGAGAATCTCAGTAGCAAACATTACCACATACATGCACAAGATGGATGCTAGTGTATGGTATGTAGTTTTTCATAAACTTAAGTTAACTAGTGACATGCCATCATGCTTTATGCTTGGTATAAAAATGCATGGCCATGCGAACATATTAAAAACAGCATTTCCAGCAACAATCATCATGTCACAATATCATTCAAACAACAAATACAAACCAACACATGAGCATACCATGTCAAGCACATAAAGGGTAAATTCACTACCTTGCACCTCAAGCTTTCCTCTTACTTTTCCTTTGACTCCCTTGACTTTCCAACCATGTGGGCATTCGGTCAACATCACCAAACATCCTCTTGGATGTTCCAAAGGTCCTAAACATAACCATAATGATCACACAATCCATTAGGACCATTAGATTACATAAAGTTTAAGACTAGCTTTCTTGAACCTCAACCCTTTCTCTTAGTCTTAGGGTTTTCTTTCTAACTTTTCTAATATAAATCTTATCATTTCCCATCCTTAAGATCTATTTCTTGTCAATTAGGACCACTTTAGATGGCCTTAGATTCAAGAATACCAAATCTGGAAATTTTGGTTCGCGGGTACTGTTCACGCAGAATCTCCAGAATTTTTTGCTCAACTTTGAAAATTCATAATTAAATCTAGCAAAATCCAAATTGAGTGCTTCCAAGTCTCACTGAAAGATCATTAAGTTATCTTTAAACAAAAAATAGTTTCAGGAACCAATTCTACGCCAAATAGTACCGGAATTGTACGGAACTTGACACTCTCCCAAAAGTTCAACACTGTTTCCAGATTTCAAACCCTAACTTTGAAAAATCACCATAAATCGTACACATATCCAAATGAAGTGTTCTACCCATGGATTTAAAGCTCACAGAGTGTAATTTAAGCATGCCAAATTTTAGAACCATATATG